GCTGCTCAGCCAGCGAGCGCAGCGGCCATCCCTATATAGGATCCGAACCCGCGGTGGGAGCGCTGCCAGCGCCGCACTCTCCCGAGTAAGCCACGGGGCCGGCCCTTTCATGAACTTTTTGAAGATCGCTGCTCAGCCAGCGAGCGCAGCGGCCATCCCTATATAGGATCCGAACCCGCGGTGGGAGCACTGCCAGCGCCGCACTCTCCCGAGTAAGCCACGGGGCCAGCCCTTTCATGAACTTTTTGAAGACCCCTCGTATATGATTTTGTTTAATCCTGACCACAATCATAAGAGGTGATTACCACTATTTCGTCCATTTTACAGGTGAGGAAGCTGAGATAAAAAGAGGCCAAGCACCTGGATTACCTTCTGCAGGGGGTTTGTCCCCAGTGCTGGTTCTCTTGACAGAACCACCTACTCGCCTCTGCTGCCTCTCTGTTCTCTCTGTGCTTTCTGTACCTGGAAAGCATGTAGGAGTGCTTATTTATCAGAAAGAGCATAATTTTACATGTCATAGAATACGGGAAAGCAAAATTTTGAGGGTGTTGGAAAACGTTCTCTGAGAGTTTAGTGCATCATGTCGCCTTTGAGATCACAGGATCCTCTTCAGGACCTCTCTTCCCGTGGCCTCCCCGCTGCCCGCTTTTCCTTTTATCTACTCCCTTGCTCCCCAGGATCCTGGTTGCAGGGATCCCGCCCCTGCTCTTTGTATCAGGTTAAGCTGGTGAGAGCTGTTCACCCTGGAGTTTATATTCATTCTGGAGGGCAGAAGTAAGCCTCTATGCTTTCCAGAGTGGAGCATCCACCACAGAGGCAGATACTGGACCACTCTCCATGCATGACATCAGGGCATCGGTGGGCTACCTAAAAGCACATGCCTAATGTGCTTTCGAGAGCAAAATTTACTCCAAAATTAACAAACTTCAAAGGGTAACTTGTAATATTTGAAATGATTTTTGCTTGCTATTGTTTATCTGTCATCTGTATTTCCAAGAAAGTTTACTTTTAGGCCATCTTTTAAAAATATGCAGTTATTGTTCCTTTTTATCACTGTGAATACATGGAAGAGTTGGCGATACATTTGCAAAAGCTTTTCTGTGCATATGATAATACATGTGGTTTAGACCTCTATTCTTTCCCTCCTCCGCCTCTAGTTTTAGTCACCTAGAAATAAGCTTCTCTATGTGTCCAAATTACCAAATAATTACCCTCTCTGCTTTCCTGTAAAGCATGTAGATTTAGCTACAATGTATTTCTATTAGGTTTTCTTCTTAGAATATTAATTATCCTCAGACATTAGGAAGCATGCTTCTAATCTTTTCTACCCCTCACCCCTCCCCAAACCCCTGCCCCCACAAACTTTGGGAAAGCAAGGAAAGTGTTTTATCTGTCCTTATAACACTTGCAACTAGAGGTGCCTGGCAGTAGTAATATGTTCAATAAAAACATGTTGAATTGACCTTAATAGAAATAATTCTTAAAATTCTTTTTTTCTTTTCTTCCTTTCTAATTTTTGTCCTTTCATCATGCAATAAACATTTATTGAATTTCTCGTATGAGCCAGACACCATGCTAAGTAAGTACCAAGTTAAATACTTCATCATCCCCGGCCTCAAGAAGCCCAGAGTGAGCAAAGCTGTGCAGTTGAAAGGGTAAGTACTGTTTCCACCTTTTGGGTTTTCAAAGTAATTTGGAGAGATAAGATTAAGATAGCATCCTGAACGCATACCTCTCTGCTGCCAAAAATGCTGCAAATGACAGAAACAGTATTTCAGAGTGAAAAATCAGTAATTATGCTGAAAATCAAGAAAAAGTAATAATAACAGACCAGAAATTTCAAAGAATTCCTAAATATTAAACAAGCAAACAAACAAAAACCAAAAAACAAAATGAATAAACAAAATGACTATATAGGATCAGATCATGGGATAAATAACTTGAGAAAATATGGCCCAAAACATGCACAAAAGAGTACTTATACTTAGCTAGGAACAATTCTGGGCAAGCCCAAGCACAGAGTCAGTTGTTACAAGGAGAAAGGTCCCCAGGCACACATCACAGAGGGTGTAATTGGCAGCCCCTGCTGTTGCTGCAGGGCAGTCCCTGCCTCCTCTCTCCTACTTGTATTGATTATGGGCAGCCACTGAGCTGGCCCAAAGTGAATGCAAGAAGGTGCTGGGGCCAGAAGGACAGAGTATTGTCCCAGGCAGGTATTCCTCTCTCCCAAGAAAGGCTGGGAAGCCTCCACACACAGAAGAAATGCTAGTAGGCTCTTGGCAGTACATTCCATCTTTCCCCCATGAGGATGGCTTACCCATAGCTAGTAGGTGTACAGGGATTTTCAAAGATCAGCCCACATTCTTGGAGTGAACAAACAGAAGAATTTAAAATAAGTACAACTAATATTACAGAATTCCAAAGATTATTGCATCCATCAAAAATAAACAATAAGAGATTTTGGAGATTAAATATCTGTCAGAAAAGGTGATTATCTGTAATATATAAAATTTCTATAAATCAATAAAAAAACCAAAAATACAATAGGAAAATGGGCAAGGATAAGAGGATATAAATGGTTCTTAAATATTTGAAAATATGCCCAACTCTATTCATGGTAGGAAAATTGCAAACTAAAAGTACAATTAGTAACACTTTTTACCTATAAGATTAGTAGAGTTTGAATGCTTTGATAACACATTGATTTGGTGAGAGTGAGAAAATAAGCTTCCAAATGTTGCGGATGAGAATAAGATTAGTAATATCTTTGTGAAGATCAGTTAGGCAATACATATCAAGTTATAAAATGCCCTTGATTTAGCAATCACACTTCTAGGAAGTCAGCTTACAGATATATATGCACAAAAATGAAATTTTACTTGTGTGTATGCAAAGAAATTAATTGCATATTTTTTTGTGTTAGTACATTATTGAAAACAACAAAAATACCTACCAAGAGGAAACTGGTTGAATAAGTTATAGTATATCAATACAAGGAAAAACCATGCATTAAAAAAAATAGAACACTTCTACATCTAGGAATTTAACCTACAGATCTTCTTGAACATAAGTGATGTACTTGCACAGATATATTTGTAAAATGAGTGAAATAATATACGAAAAAATCTACTTATTAAAGCATTTCTTGTAATTGCAAAAAGTTAGAAATAAACCAAATGACCACTAATAGAATGATGAAGTAAAGTATGGTACATTCAACTGATGGAATGCCATTCCATTGCAAAAAGGAATGTAGAAACTCTATGAGTAAGATATTAAATGTCCCCTGTTGATATAAGTATATATTATGTTATCTTTTGTAAATAAGAAAGAGAAAAATATATACACTTGTGTTTTACTTATATAGAAAAACTCTGTAACAATGCAAGAAGATAAAAATGGCGTTTCCCTGGTTTGGTGCTGGAAACTGGGCAAAGGGGGAATAGGAGCTAGAGAGATTTCACTGTATGTCTCCATTTTTTAAAAAATGGAAACATATGGATGTATTACTTCTTCGAATCAGACTGAAAAAAAAAAGAAGAGGCTCCCTGTGTATTTATATTAGATATCCAAATATACATGCTTAAGGAAAGAGAAAAGCAAAATAAAAAGAACACAAAACACAGAACTATGTATAGAGTATGATTCCACTGTGTTTAAAACACAACAACAAAACCTGATTCCAAGGCTGCATATGCACCACTATGTCTGTGAGAACAAACGAGTACCAGCATGCCTTTGGAGAAGTAAACTAAAAGGCTAGGGACAGAGAGAAAAGAGACATATTTGACTGCATATGTTTGTACCTTTTGATTTTTTTTATGGGCGTGTGTTACCAATTAAAAAAAATAAAATCGTTTTTCAAAATTGACATGACAATAAAAAAAAAACTCAGTAGGTGAGCTGACAAGCAGCATGAAGTATGTCAGATCTTATTTCCAATTACGTCTTGCCACTGATAGAAAATACACATTAAATATATATGTTAGAAATATGAGTATAAGGGTAACAACTAGAAAATAGAATGTAAAACCTTCAAACCATGTAGGAAGGCCAGTAGGACAAATCTTTCTACTCACAAATTAATCCTTTTTAATTATTATTATTATTATTATTTTACAATAATTCTACTTCATCCTTGATCAATACAACAAAAGGGAGAAACAAAAGAAACAAAAGAATATGGAGAAAAATACAATCTATAACAAAGCAGAGCAAACAGAAAATTTAAATTATGAGGGCAAGAAGAGTTCAAGCACATAATTAATCACAATAAATGTTTTTCTACCATGAGAAGACTTTCAGTTTGGGTAAAAAAAAATGTTTTAACTATATTCTATTTATAAGAGATATCCAAAATGAATTACTTAGAAAAATAGAAAAAAATCAAGAAATACACACCAGGTTAATGCCTACGAAAATAAAGTTTAAGTATTGTTAAATTAACATAATACAAAATACAGTTCAAGGAAAAAGTATCAAAGGAGGCAAGGAGGAGTATTTCACATTAAGAAAAGGAAAAATCCATAAGAGTATATAACAGTCACGAACATTGTGTATTTAACAGTATATCTTTATTATTTTATTTTATTTTTTTTAACAGTATAGCTTTAAACTGTGTAAGTTAAAATGTTAAAAGTACAAAGAAAAAAATGATGAATCTTCATAGTGGGAGACAGCTCCCTTGAAAATAGAACAATTAAATATAAACAAGAACAAATTAAATATAACAAAACAGAACAATTAAATATAAACAAGAAAGGATCTTAGAGTTTTAAATAACACTATTAACATATTTGATATTTAACTTTGTATCAAAAAACCAATGAATATTCTATCTTGTCAAACATAAATAGTACAGAAAATTCACCCTGTATTATTAGTCTATAAAGGAAATCTCAATTAATTGCAGAATGCAGAAATCGTACAGACCATATATTGTCTGATCACAAAGCAATAAAGTGAGAAATGAGTAAGAACAGCAGAAAGAAATCATCTATTCATTTAGAAAATATAAACTATTCTTCAAAGTCAATTAAAACAATAGGGAAAATCTGACATTTCACTGGGGTTACAGAATTGACTTCATTGCACTAGTACATTGTATAACTAAGGTGGTTAAAAGCTTGTTCAAGACAGCTGTGGTTTCAAGGAGTCCTGCCAAAATGAAACCCTCCTTGTGGCTGTACACTTTTATACCAATAAGGCTAATCTGCGGGAAATGTAAGAGAACAGGGCACTGAAAACTTTGTCACGTCTGGAGCAGTTGCAGCCAAATACATGTGAAAATTAAATTATTGAAGTAGAGAGAATGGTTTTTAAAAAGTTTACAGGGATACAAATATGTTTATATTTACATTTGGAGGAATTAAACATTAAAATAAAAGGCTATTCTTATATATCCCCCTCCCCAAGTTAGGGAGAAGTGCATACCCATTTTAGGAAATAATCTGAACGAAAGAAAAACCTCTAAGTAGATAAAAGCAATTTACCATATCTAGAACATCTTTTAACTGCAGGGGAAATTTCAGCTCTTTGAGAAAGGAGCTAGTAATATAACAGCTATGAATGGGCACATACAAGCTGTTAATTTTTTTTCTATTTTCACTATCTTTTTCCCAAAGCACCCCTACCCAATCAGAGTGCAATGAAGGAAATGCACACAGAAGGTGAATTTTAACCTTACATATATTTTAGTCTTGCAATGATATCGATTATAAGAAATCAGCTGATTAAGTCAACTCTACTTCCTTTATTAATTTTAACTTACTTGCTTTCCCTCTGAAATCTTGTAACCACATCCTCTGCGGGATAGCACAGAATATTAGTAAAGAATTATTGATATTGAACATTTTTCTTTACATCTAAAAAATCTTAGGTTTTTTTTTTTTTGTTTAGTTACTTCCTTGACAACTAAATTTATCTCTTTTTTGAAATTCATTTTTATTTATATTGATTTTTGTGGGGTACAGAGTGTTGTTTCAACAGGTGCATATCCTGCACAATGATTCACTTAGGGAACATAGCATAGTTTTGTCCCCATTAGTTCACCCCTAATCTTCCCCCCACCCCTACCCCTCCCATCCTCTGGTAACCATTATTCTACTCTCTACTTTAAAAAAAAATTTTTTTAACACACAAATATTAACATTCTTATTGCAAAAAGAACTCTTAAAAATGAATTAGAAAAATCTAAGCAGAAATTTGGTGAAGGAGAAAAGCAGATAAGTCACACACCCCAAAGAGACACACATGGTCTATAAGTACAGTCTGGGATCTGGTTGCAGGTGGGGTGGGGCTGACCCAGCCCTGTCTTAGGATCCCTGGGTGGGCGACGGCCTGGCTCTGTTGGCTGGTGGCAGGGGCCGGGTTTCTTTATTTAAAGCTAGTGGGAAAGTGGATTTCTGCTAGTTTTTTGTTTTTTGTTTTTTTTTTTTGGATTTCTGCTAGTTTTTTTTTTTTTGTTTTTTTTTTTTTGCTTTTGAAAAAGGGTTAGTTCTATATAAATTGCCCCACTCCACCAACGAAAATTGTAAGCGTTCCTCCCTCCTTATTATATCATAAATCAAAATAGACTTCTCTGCAGCACATTATGGGTACTTTTGACTGTAATACAGAGAATTTTTGTTTTTACAATATCAAACTGTAAATAATT